TAACGAGTGCAAAAGTAGTATGTTTTTTTTTTATTTTTTAAAGATGATTGATTGCATACAAGGAAAATAATGCCAATACATGGTAGAAGTATAGTGAGGGAAAAATAAAATAAAAATAATACATTCCTTCTTTTATACGTTTTACATTAAATTTGAATTGTTTGCTCATAAATGTCTCACTGAGACATACCCACGGCTGAAGAATTTACCTAACCAAAGTTTAACGAGTACAAAAGTATTATGTTTTTTTATTATGGTTTTTGGAATAATAGCTAAATAATAATTGATAAGATTTAGGCCAGTCTTCAGTTGGGGTTCAAGGCTGGCGAAGTTCAGCGAAGGATCTATTTTTTCGATTCGTAAAGGTGATAATTGTTAGAGTTCCATGACTTGCTTCAATAGAAGAATCCCGATTTCTTGCGCAAGATTGTGATTCATCCCCAAGATTGTGCCGATTATAGAATTTTGCAGAGCACCTCTTTTTGAGTTTTGTTTACATTCCTTCTTTTATACGTTTTGCATTAAATTTGAATTGTTTGCGCATAAATGTCTCACTGAGACATACCCACGGCTGAAGAATTTACCGAATCAAAGTTTAACGAGTACAAAAGTATTATGTTTTTTTAAATATGATTGATTGCATACAAAGAAAATAATGCCAATACATGGGAGAAATTAAGTGCGGGAAAAAGAAAATTAAAAAGGATAAATGTGATTGGAGCATTTAAGAAAGTAAGGATTTCTAATAAAAATATCACCAAAATAATTTTTTTGTCGTCCAGACGGTACATTGGGTACGGGAGGCTACTACAGTACCGAAGGGTTCGAATCTCGGAGAAGACATGGATGCTTGCAAATGTATAGTTTCGGTGCGGCATAGCGGCATTCTAAATATACAGCGAGCCTAAAGTCATCTCGTGTGGATTGGTGGGAGTGGGATGGGAAACCCCGAGGTGCTCACCCTCAAAATTGGGGGTGAAAAATAGAAGACAACCTCTCTTCGGAGTAGGCTGTGGCAACCATTGTTCCATGTAATAGTGACAAGACAACAAACAAAATATTTTGTATAAAAATTGGTACATACACCAGCGAAATTACTTTCAAAAGAAAAGTTTTTTTTTTTTTTTTTTTTTCCTGTTGTGGTTATGTTATGTTATGAAGAAGTGAGGGGGCCACCTAATATTTACCCTAAGTAAGCAGGTATTAGCCCCACACACTAACTAGAAAACTAACAACATTCTGGCATCATTTCCTCGAGTCGTGATAAAAATTGTGACTTAAGTGAGCACTACAAATACTGTCACCGGCGGCGGCATCAACGGTACTCCTAACCTTTCAGCGTTAAATTAGCTCAAGTAAGGGATTAAATTACATGATATACATTGCGATATAGATAGTTTTGCAGGTGCATATTTCAAGATGTATCTGTTGTAGTGGGTACAGGATACATATTTCAGGACATTATATATTGCATTACAAACAGGCATGTTGTTTCCACGTTACAAATCATTTTATATGTATTCAGGATACATTTGGAGGAGAAGATGTACTCGACTCGAACCTAGACCGGCCGGACTCAAACCTAGACCTCTCGAAAAGCCGCCGAGTGTGATAAACGTTACACCACGAAGGCATGCAGGAAGGAGGAAAACATACCTTATATACCCCCTTTCAAAGCGCGACTGTGGAGTAGGGGACGCATTCGGCAAATCCTGGAGGTGGAGAATCATCATCCATCCACCAACGTTTTTTCAGTTCGGGCGCCATTGTAGAGTCATTAGGTTTTTTTTAAGCAGGAGATGTGAAGAATGAGCAACGCCCTCGCCGGGACTCGAACCTTGACCTCTCGACTACGCGCCAAGTGTGCTAACCATTACACCATGAAGGCATGCTGGAAATGAAGGAAAAATACACTACTTACAGAAAACCCTGCTAAGAGATTTTTACTAAATGAATGCCTACGCTAATTTCACTATTTCGTCCAGTGCACTACGAAATAAACACTAGAAAGCTACAAACAGGTTCGGGAGCCATTTCAAAATGCTCCAGAACTTCTTTCAATTGCCGAAGAAACAGTCTTCATAAACTTCACAGCCTCTGAATTTTGGGTAGGAGTGAATGATGAGTTTCCTGCACTGGAAACAAGAGCATTTCGTACATTATTACCATTTTCAACATCTTACCTTTGCGACACCGGATTTTCTGCGGCTTTGAAGAAACAAGATAGATCTCAGTTAAATATAGCACTGAGACTGTCTATTTCTAATATTAAACCTTTCCTCTAAAAACTTTGCTGTGCAAGACAGGATCAAAGAAAGGCACTAATGATTATTAATTATTATTAGCTTCTTTTTAATTTAGCACTTATACGTTAATTATTTAATACATTGCGCAGTACCGATGCAGTCATATTTATATGTGTGTTACATGAGTATTAATGTGTACTATTTTAACTTGCCTTCCTTTCAGTAAATTAATCAATTCTTTCAATAACATTTTCTTTTAGAAAAGGTGCTAAAATTGAATTTTTTACAATGTTCTCTATTATTGAAGCCATAGAAATTTCTACAAATACTATTTTCAAATTATTTATCCCTATTTGTAGCCAAGGTAAAAAGTATAGTTTAGGGTAACCCTTGGCGAAACTTGGCGATTTTTGGCGGTATATGGATACCGATTTTGTGTAATTCTTTGAGTCGTTATTTTGGCTTGAAGCAGCAAATTTTGCGCCAAAAATCGCCGCTACACAAAGCCAAACTAACAGGACAAACAATTGCATAAACTCGGTATCCATGCACACATCGACTTATTTTCACTTTAAAAAAAAAAAAAAACCCAAATTGGACAAAAATGGCATTGCGCACTCTTTTGACTTTATCCATGTACACGTCGACCTATTTTCACTTAAAAAGTCAAAGGAGAACCAAAGTCTACAATATAGGCAAACAAAAAATACATAATCTCAATAAAATACATTTTAAACCAAACAATAAAATAACATAAAGGAAAAACATGTTATACATTCAAGCACTACCAAAAGCAAATATTCACTTACCATGATTTTCGAGTTCGCTTCGTACACCAAGAGCCACGTAAAAATCAAAATATCAATCATACTCAAATGACTTTTTCAAACCAGGTACTCTTTCTACTTTCTGATCGAACGCTTCACATAGTGACCATCAGAACCTTTTTCCTACAAACCCATTCAAATCCATCTAAACGGTTTTAACACACACCACAAAAACGCTTACAAAAATCCCATGATTCAAAATTTCCCAGAATCATGCACCCGATTACGTCACAATAAGGTTTCCATAACATTCAACTACTCAGGCTACCATAAATGAAACAACAATTTGGCGATAAATCAAACAACAACTTCGCCGTAATACAAGGGGTACCTTAAAGTCTACTCTACCCATAGCCGACGTACACAAGCTTGCGGGAAATTTAAACAGACCCAAATAAATGTAACAACAGATCTACTATAGAAACGTAGAGTCCATGTGGATGGCATAAGTTAAATCTTTGGGGCTTCTTTGTTACAAATACATTTTAATGTAACTAAACGCACAGCAAATATACATACGACACACAAAATACAAGACACTAATAGAAAAACTGCTGACGTCGTCGTCAGATTATATATTACTCTGATTTATATGCTAAATGCTAAGCTAATTATTTAATTCTTTGTCAGTTCCTACAGAAATAAAGTAAAATGTTTAAAAAAAATCCATTAACATTTCAAATTCGGACAAAGCTTTGCTCGAATTTTATCATTAAGAAATGCTATCGGACTTCGCGACAACTTTCGACACAAAACTTTCGACGGTGATCAAGCAGGTGAATAAAACAGCAGGTTTGGTTTATGTGATTACGGCAAAGCCCCGAGGGCTATCTGCCTATGGGAAGGGATGGCTTCGTGAAGTACTTTCTAAGGGAAACTCGGACGTATGGGAAAAACCACGAAAACGCCCATGCAGCCAGCCCATTCGCGGGATTCCAACCTTTATTAATGATGTAACTTATAATTATACCTAAGAATCACTTCGCTTTAGAATTTCTATTCAATATTCAAAACAAATAAAATAATTAAAAGCTTCTTATCTGTCAGACGAGATCCGTTCAATCCATGACATTTTATCCAATTTTATTTTACCGTCACACACAAATACATAACGACAAGAATACGCTTCTTACAAATCCAGTTACACATATATGGTTCGCACTTGACAAAAAAATCATCATTCTACATTCTTCGCGGTTGCCATGGCAACAGAATTTTTTTACTCAAAAGGAAGTCAGATGGACAGCGCCATCTGGCTGCTGCAATTATGATTTCTGCATGCTGCATTTCGAAATCGCCGTACCATCCAAAATAGGGATTATAAAGAGGTGGACGCGGCCGCAGTATTTGTAGCTTCAAATTCCGAAACATAATGCATGTAATGAGTTGCAACGTCGTTGTGTGATAAGCTTCATTTGTGGCAGATGACAGTGAGTAACATACGCTAGGATAGTGACTAGTGCATGTGGACTGTGATAGAGAACTCAGGCATGTTCAAAAGTTAAAGAGTCGTATTTTGAAGTTATAATTTTGTTATACGATTAGCTGAATGGTTTACGGAACGGAGATGGAAAAGAAATATCCAACAGATTCACAGATCCGCACACTACATTAATACAGAGAATGTTCGCACATTTTTAGACGATTTTGCTTTGACATTAACAAAAATCGTCAACTTGGGAATTTTTTTTAGCTACAATTATAAGAAGTGTTCAAATGAAAAGGTACGAAAAGTCGTAACAACCAAACCAGTTGAAATTTGAACATGCCGCTTTGGAATAACGTGGTGAGATATTTAAGGACGCGAGTGTAGCTTCTGGCATGGTTGTGCACATGCGCGTGGGACGCAGGCAGTTATGTGTTCCGTCCAATTGATGTGGCAGTGCGTGTGAGGACATCAAGGAGTTCACATCGCAAAATTCGACGATTCAGGAGCAGCGAGGTGTTAAACCGGCCGATATTCATCGCCGAATGGTGGCTACTGTGTGTTCCACAAGTCAGCGAGTGCCGTTTCGGTGAAAGCCGGGTGTGTTTGCATAAAGATGACTATAAATCTATTTCTACAATTCAAAATATAAAAAAAATCGATCGAAAATTTTTAGACAAAAATCTTAAAATGTGTGATCGTAAGGTAAAATGGCTGTTCCTTCACGTTTCATGTTATTCAACCACTTTGTTTCGTAACCTAATTAATTTTTGTTATAAAAAGAAGTTTAATTATTTCAAATATGAACTATTAGTGTGTTATATTCGTGATCAAAATTAAATACAGAAGTGTTTTTCTTTAATAAATCAATAGAAAAAGAAATCTGAAAGGTTTCAGATTTTAAATTACGTCCAAAGGGGCGTTTTTTAACGCTTTGTGTGTTACCTTTATTTATTAAATATCATGTTCTTCGCACTTAAAACATAAATTCAGTTAAATAGCAATGTCACAAAATTATTTTAAAATGAGCGTATCTTAGAATTTCCAATACACAGTTCCGCGTGCTGGAGATAAAAAAATTTTTTTTCCTCGTAGAGGTTGCCATTGCTCGCTTCGAAATCCTTGAGTTTGTTAATCAATAATTTGTTAAAGTTTTACAAAATATGAAATCTATCCTAAAACAAATTTCAAATTTGGTCTTCCACATGCCCATATTTGTAGGAGGATTACGTCATTCAAAATTCGATGGCTCTAGGTACAATTGTTTTATCACAATGCGAGAACTATACATACATTGATGCAGAATTTTCATTATTTAGTTTCTTCCAATATAATGCAGGACTCTAACATTGGGTGGCAACAGTTTGAAAAGTGAAACGAACATTTATAGTGACTCAACGCAAAATCGCAAAACGAAAACAATAGTCCTTCAGGGTTAGGTTAGGTTAGGTTATTTAATTACGGCAAAGCCTCGAAGGCTATCTGCCTAAGGGTAGCGATGCCTTCGTGAAGGACTTTCTAAGGGAAACTGGCTCGTATACACGTTACACATGGGGAAAACCACGAAAACACACATGCAGCCAGCCCGTTCGCATGATTCGTAGCTCGGACCGAACTACCAGTGTTCAGAGACTTTACCGCTCGGCCGCTGGTGGGCCATGTCCCTAGTGTTCAGAGACTTTACCGCTCGGCCGCTGGTGGGCCATGTCCTTCAGGGACAAAAGCCCCTTTGGAATAATAATTTGTCTTGCACTTCATGTAAAGTCTGTTACCTTGAGATTATTTTACCCCAAATTAGTTTGTAATTCTGTCTAAAAGGGGCAGTACATATTCAGTGACATACATAAACTAGTCAAGCTAAGTTTGACTACTTTAAATACGTACTGCCTCCCTTTAGGCAGATTTACAAACTAATTGGGAGTAAAATGCTCTCAAGGTAATGAAGTGCAAGACAGTGGTTTGCCAAATTTTTATCTAAAAATTTAAAATTTATTTTTTTTTTATTTTAAATTGTAGAAATATATTTATAGACATTTTACGGAATGCATTGTTCAAATTAAACTTTAAATATTAATTTATCTTGAATTTCCTTTCTTTTCTTCTGGGACAACATATATAAGCAAAATTTGAAAATGGGCCATATGTTTATATTGTTAATAAAAATTTTATTTTGTAAAAAGATAAAATAAATCTATCCCCGTCAACTGTTTAAATCATGCATTTGGTTCAATTCCAGTTTCAAAAGGCGTGGGATCTCGTTAACACCAGAATGTCTCATACATTTTAGGTAAGATAGCTTCCCCGCAAAGCAAGTTTAGGGTTGCCATAAAATGGCAAGCTAAGACAGGGCTGCCACATTTGACGAGAAATAGCCCATTCGGCGACAAACCCAAAGTTTTGTCGATTTGTGGCGCTTAGTAGTATAAACATGTGCGTCAGCATTTATGCCCCATTCTGAAGCATGCGAAAAATAGCAAAATGCCACATTTTCACCTGTTGTTTGATTCACTTGCTCGATCTCTCCAGAACATGGCGACTGCTATTTGGAAATCATAACCCATTCCGTGTAAATAAGTCAATATTTTTCTTTAACACTGGAATTTTAGTCTTGACATCGGGAATTTATTTTGTAAAGCAGATGTGTCATGTATTTCTTTTCAGTATTTGACGAAGGATTCAATTTCTATGGACATATACCACTCTCTTTCAAGAGGCACATGGAAGTTAATGACAATGAGTAACATCTTCGAGTAAAATCCCAAAGAGGAAGGTATCTGGAAAGCAGTCATCGAAATAAAGCTGAATATTTGGAAAAACTCTTTTCAATTAACTTTCGGAATGGACCTGCCACGGAAAATCTATTGCAAGTTGCCTTATACTGCATGCAAGCAGCCGCCAGTCGTCAAATCGTGCATTGCCGTCGCCATAAATGCTGTCACCAGTTATATCTGCTTCCTTCAAGAAGTCGTCTTAGCAAATTTACGTTTAATTATAGGTAATTAATTATATTTTGAGAATTAAATTGAATTTTGTAATTAATTTTAATCGTCATCTTCTGAGTTGTCCTCGTAATGAGCTTGCACTTTAAACTGTAAGAAGTTATCTTTATCAAAATTATTTATTCCTATTTAGAACCAATTAAAGCATTTTTTGGCCCTCTTTACTGCGAAGTTCCAGGAGTCGTCTGCAAGCCTCCGCCGACGTTTTACGAACGGTCATTGCAGACTTTGCGCCAGTTTCTAGTTGAAAATATGATTATACGATACATTACGGAAACTTGCTGCAGTTCGTGGACTATGGTAAGTGGCTACTATATTTTACTCCTAATAATTACTACGATGTTCAAAACTTGCTTGTATTACCTCGCTACGGAAAGTCGTCAGTATATGAGGTAATGACTTAAGCAACAAACTAAAAAGAGAAATAATGTCAAAAACATTTGGTCTTATTCGGTTTTGAGGGCCGTAAAAAATCGCCAAAGTGTTGTTGATGCCAGTGCTGCCAAAAATAATTGCGGCAACCCAAACGCAAGAAAGGAACTATAGTAAATAACTATCTAAGATTGATGTTTTAATTTAGATGAAAGGTTAATTTCATATAATACTTTTTTTATTATTATAGTTTATATAAAAAAGGCTAAACATGACTGAATGGAAACATAAAAGTCAATACCTATTTCAGATCATTATTATAATTTATATACAAATTGCTAACATAACTGAATGGATGCCTGCATCGCTATTTCGCTACCGAGTTATCGCTAAAGCATAGTTTCATTTCGTTGGTTGTTCAAACATAATTTTCTATAATGAATGATGCCTTTTCAAAAAAGGCATCATCATTATAGATTCATTATAGATTCATCATTCATTATAGATTCATTATAGACTAGAATACAAATCAGAATCTCAAAAAATAAACGAGTGCATGAGGGCACTTCAAAATGACTCCTAAGAGATGGACTCGCAGAAATTTAACCGGCGTGATACTAAACTGATATGGCCAAGAGGCTTACTCGAGTGACCGCGAAATAACAACGAAACGTGCGCTAGGCTAGCGAAACACGCTGTCTGAATAAACTGAGATAATCACACGTTTACATAGCACAGCACAGACAGCACAGCACAACCACTTCACTTCACTTCAAATCAAATCAAATCAAATTTACATGCTGGCGAGAGAATGTGAGAGGAAGTTTGAGAAGCTGAGAACAGGAAAACTTAAATTTGTTATGGTCGTAAGTTTTGCTTTTATCTATTTACTTTTTCTACATCTACTACTTCGGTTCCTGAATCTTACTTATTGGCTTCTTCCTGTGGGGTTATTTGAAGTTGAAGGGCTATCTTGGTGGGGTTTCAGCCTCGTTGACCTTAAGAGCAACAGCTCAAAGGCTGTGCCCAGCATTCCTGGTGACATACGTTTGCCCGTCTTTACCATTGTGTACAGGATGCAATGCAGGATCCACGCAAAGATGGTCAAATTCTTACAGGTTCATGGCATCGTCGAGGTAGCGGTTTTATTGAATAAAGTGTTACGACGCACTCCAACTCATTTGCAGAGTTAATGCAGTATTGTACTGAAATGTCTTCGTTGTTACTGATTTGTATAATCAGCTGTGTCGACTAGAACAGCGCCATATTTTACTTTAACGATAACTTTCGAAACAATTATTTTCAGGTATCTTTTCCCCCATGTTGTCATTAGTTCCAATACCGAATTAGATAGTATTTTAGCTGATAGATGGAGCTACAGATTGCTTTGAGTAATGTCAGTTTAAAAACAAATATCCTGTATATATAAATCAGTCTTGAATTACCACTGCTGTTATTTTCTTGCAATTAGTGCTGTCTTTGAAATTTCTTCAGTAATTGAATTAGATGTCTTTGAAGATTTCATAGGTATAACAAAGTCCCAGACATGACGTAAATCAAATTTCAATAATCCGCCGTCTGTTTCTCAAACTTAAATTTCCCTCCTTTGTTGTTTATAATTTATGCCGAAGATTTTCAACATCTGTTTCTTATTTATACTTTATTGTACATTAGCTAAATCATGAAAAACAACCACAATTTCTTAGCTTAGAACCACCTTTAACTTTTGTGTGTGCGTGTGCCGACATTAAGTTCAGGTTATATAGTAATATACCAAAATTTCATTAATGTGTTGTTTTTTGCGAAAGAAAGCAATTGATAAACTTAATCCATTTGCGTTTTCTTCCTCTAGATATTTCTCCATTTAGCAATTCTCATAATCTTGGCAACAAAATTAACTCGAGTGGTAATACGAAAGGTATGACCTACTTTCATTTTCTGTATAAAATAAAGATTAATTTGCATGTAAAAAGAATAAAATGTTCCTATATGCCGATATAATTTCGAGTTTCATACACCATTTCAGTTAGGCCGAGATATCATAAAGTAGGCAATCGATAAATATTTATTGCATCATTTAAGGAATAGGAATGGTAATTTGGAATGGACAAATGATAATAACAAGAATTATCATTGTGCATTCAATTAATCTAAGCACGAAAACTTTACCAGCAAAATTATTGTTCAGATGAAAATATAACTAGCTTTGTGGCAGAATCAGAAACACACGAATGTTGCCAGTCTAGCCGAACGTGTTCATCCGCATGTCTTTTTCATGATAATTCGGCAAAATTGAAACTAATATGTGCGTTTGGCAAAACGTAATTATTTATGATAGAGAAAATCATTGAAATACAAAAGAATTATCAAAATTGCATGCAATTATAAAGATTAAAGTTTTAACCATTCGTTCTACCTTCGCCTTCTTGGTGTTGCATTTTCAATGTCGAGCAGCGTAACTGATTATGTTAAGCTCTCAAGAATTTTTTTGTCTAGGATGAGACATGCCTTTGTGGAAAGTATGAATTTGAAAAGAAATTTTATATGATAACAGTAAATATAAGTTGAAATATCAAACAAAAATGCATTTGAAAATAAATGTAAAATACGGTTAAGTTAATTGATTATTACACGTTACAAAAACCTACGTCATTAATTTAAACAACTCATAAACATCAACGCGAGTGAAGAAAGAATAAAGTCTATTTCCCCATACGCTTTTCCAAGTTCCTAGTAAATAAATTCTCGGATATATGGCACAAAGTCCCCCCATGCGGTTTTTTAGTCCCCAGTGAATAATTTCTCACATATTTGTGCACAAAGTGAACAAATTTCACACATTTCGCAGCACTTCACTTACGCATCGCTGAAGTCTGAATTGTGAATTCATCGCCAACCCAAACCTACATACATGTTATTTAGCCAAACGAAGGTTAGGGCAAATGAGGATACCACGCTACTGAAAGCGAGGATCGCCTCATTCGAGCGGTAGGCACCATACGAAAAGTATTGAATGCTATACGAACGGAGAGCTTGTGAACATGTGGTCCCAACAATGATGGGGCGCCTGCTCATTTTGGACTAGATGTTTGTAGCCATTTGAACAGATCATGTCCGCATCGATAGATTGCATGTCCTATCGATGCGGACATGATCATGTCCGTATCGATAGATTGGACGTTCCTTGGCCCCCACGTTCACCGAATTTCTCGAGCCTTGATTTCTTTTTCTGGGGAGCCATCAAAAGTGTCACTATCCTGTTGTTTCTGAAATGGATCTCGTGGCAAGATTCGCCTGCGCAGCAGCTACAGTCAAAGAAACTGCCAGTGTGCTTGAACATATCCGGGATGTTTAGCGTGTGATAGTGCAAACTTCGAGCATCTGTTGTAACATTCAAGCTCTCGTACACCATTTGTATTCATGTCCAATAAATGTTTCAAATTAATCACACTCTTGTATACTTTCCCATCTTCTACCTCTGCAACCACATACCCCGGACATTTCCGGGCATGGGTTCCTATGCAATTCCTTATAATGTGCCTACCTCTTCCAGAAGTTTGTCGCCACATTTAAGGGCAACCCTGCGTACAATGCCTACCGAAAGTGTGTAATAATTCTCATATTTCATATTTTACCTAAAAACTTCCGACATTATATACAGAGGCTGTTCGCGCATTTTTTAGAGGTAAGCGGTAATAAAAAATCATTTGCTGCAAAAGAAGTAATTGCAATTGAACTATGTTTTTAAGTCAAAATTATCGTCTGTGGCTTGAAAGTTTTGTTTTCATTCAAAATGGCGAATTTAACAAAGCAGTGGTTCGAAGGCTACATTGACGCTCTTTCCGAAGAGAAATATGCATACTCCGTTATCCAAAAACGATGTGAGAGTCATGGTTTTGTGATATCTAAAGCTCGATAGGTAATATCGTCAACAAGAAAGGAAAAAAAAACGCCAAATTGGAGCCTCAAGTGGGACAAAAATTCCAAACAAGTATCCAAGGATAAAACGGACATCTTCGACTATTGCAAAGGTACGTTGTTTAATGTTAAAAGAAAGTCCCCCTAGTCAAAGGACAGTTGCAAAATCATTAAAATGCTCGGTGTCCACTGTAAACAAAATGTTAAACGTTGATTTCAATCTTAAGAAAGCGAAAAAACGCAATGTGCATCGTCTTCTTCCAAAGCACATCGCTCAACGCAGGACACACTGCAGAATTCTATATGAGAAACACTTATCCAAAGAAAAATGGAAACAATTGTCACAATAGATGAAGCATGGGTGTATTTAAATGATGATAACAAAAAAGAGCCATTTATTATCATAAAAGGGGAGAAAACAATTTAAGTACATGGTCCATTCAAAAAATCGAAAGAAAGTTTTTCTAAGGGATTCATGATTGTTGCTGGTTTTTCTTATAATGGCAAGTTAAAAATAAAGAGAGTGCAAAAAAATATCAAGATTAACCATCGCTTTACCCACAGTGCATCAGTCGGTGAGACTCCATCAGGACAAAGCTAGCAGTCACACATCAAAATCCACCGTAAATTTCCTAAAAGAAATGGAACAAAAAACTTGTATCAAGGCCATACCCTTCACTGATATCCCTACTAAACCTCCCGATGTGTCACCTATGCATTTTTGTGCTTTCGGACTTTTAAAAACTGCATTATACAAACCTTCTCCCAGAACCCGAACAGAACTCTGAAAAGCTGTTCGGTAGGAATGGGATAGAATATCTCTTCCGCCACTTCAAAAGGCATTATTATCCTGGAAATTGCGTTGTCGAAAGATAGTTCAGGATAAGGGATGTAAAATAGAACATTTAAAACAAGAATTTTATGTAATTTAATTTTGTGAATACAATATACATCGTCTAAAAAATGTGTGAACAGCCTCTGTACAACGTTTATGAATTCTATAGAATGCCGGCGTTTCATACTTTCCCGGAAATATATTTATTAACAACTCGTATGTATTAACCAAATTCATTATGCAAATATTTATATGCTGATTTCAATAAGTCATTCAAAAAGTGTAAAGTTATTTTAAGTAATGTAAATCCCACCGTTTTTCAGGTACATGAACATAAACCGCGAAGTGCTCTCACACAGCCAAGCAGTAAGGAAAATCAAAGAATTATTGAATAAAGAAATTAATGTTCGTACTATAATCATCTCATCATCTTTTGTAACATATAGTAAATAAATAATATAAAACAAAATTTGGGTGTTGTGTGCGAATATTTCTATACACTGATTAGTTTTTCTTTCCCAAAATAGGAGGAATTCTATAACTTTGCTAATCCTTCTGAACGACAGACAATTTGCCAGGCTTTCACAAGATATTCAGATACTGCTAACGTCCATGTCCTCCAATGAGCCACGGTTATTTGCGGGTTAACAAATGATTAAAATACAGCTTTCTAATGTGTGCTACAGAAATTTTTGACAAGTTTTTATTAGATCGCGAGATCTCTTCGCCATTTTTAAATATAAGTAATTTAAATATCCGTCACACTTGATACTTTAGAGAGAATGAAGGCTGGGGGCCATTGATTGTCGAAACTGAATTGGATGCAATAAAAAATAGGTTAATTGCGCACTGATTGTTTTAGAATCGTATCTATCACACTCTGACAGCTGAAAACTAGACACTTTTTGCACTCCAAACTTTTCTGAAGCAATACGCCATTTATTTTTCTTAAATTAATTCATTTCATCCTAGTTTCTTAGTAGCTTTGCGAAATAATCGCAGCTTTAACAGTCTTATGAGCCACGAAGGTAATTTAAAAATTAATTTTCTCTTTCAAGAATTTACTTTCACTTCTGGCAACAGTAAGAGCATGACCTAGTTAATGACTACGCTGAACTCTGAGAATTCAATTATGACTTTTAATATTAATGTAATTAACGGTGGCAATATTAAAACGTCCTTCTTTCTTTGACTACTTTTTTTCCTGTGATTGCTTTATCAACTATTTTAGTATAACTGTATTTTATATCTTTATTCGCAAAATTCTTGTTTACCTCGTAAGATTTTCCTTTCACGAGCTAAGCAAATGGCTGATCTTTTAATCTTATTCCTTTGCACTGGAAAGTTTCTAGTTAAAATATAATCCATCCAGAATATCCATTATAATTCATAATATAATCCATAACATCCATTATAATTCATTACGGAAATAAAAGAAATCCTTACTATATTTCGTCGCAGTTTCTGGGCAATTTATTTAGTTAATTTCCCATATCGTATTCAATTCTTGTAGATTAATAGCATAGTAATGAACTGATAGTATTATGTTTGAGTACATCATGAAGCATCTTACAGAGGCCGTTCTCACATTTTTCAAACGATTTTGCTTTCTTATAAAAAAAAATTCGTCTGCTTGGAAATTTGCTGCTTAACTGCAGCTATATTTTTGGAAGTATTAATTATCATCTGCCACAAGACGATTTCTTTTTCATGCAAATTGGCAGTTTTGCCTGAGGCAATGGACAGACGGCTATGTTTGTGCTCTTTTCGAAGAAAATTATTTGTATTTAGTTATTATAAATGACCGTGAAAGGCATGGTTTTTCAATATCTAAAGCTGCGATAGATAATATTGTCAACAAGATAGGGAAAAATTTTCAAAGTTTGCTTTAAAGTGGAAAAATTGTTCCAAATACATACCCAAGGAAAACACGGAATGTTTCGAATGCTGTAAAGGTAAGATCTTTAATATTAAACAAAATCCGCCAAGTCAAAAGACAGTTGTAAATTCATTCAAGTGCTCAGTTAATCAACTGTAAACATATAACGTGCATGTTTACAGTTGATTAAAGGCTCCCGCCTTCATCGCATGCCTTTGTGGGGTGGTGGTCTGCATGCTGGGTGCGTATTCCAGAGGTCAGTGGTTCGATTCACGTTCAAGGTCTCCTGCTTCTTAAAAATAACCTAATGACTCTACAGTGGCGCCCGAATTAAAAGGATGTTGAATGATGATTCTCCTCACCCAGGATTTGGCAATTGGGTCCCCTAAAAACCCCCAGTCTCTTTAAAAGGGGGGAGTATATAAAGAATTCTCCCGCCTTCTTGGCATGCTTTCGTGGTGTTGTGGTCTGCACGCTGGGCGCGTAATCCAGAGGTCCACGGTACGATTCCCGGCAAAGGCGTTGCTAATTTTTCATCTTTTCCGCTTCAAAAATTTTTATGTCTCTACAAAGTTATTATTGCCGGTTTGAATCTCAAAAAGGCGAAAAAACATAATGCGCATCGTCTTTCTCCGCGATATATCACCGAACGCAGAAAGCACTGCAGAATTCTTTATGAGAAACTTTTAATCCGGACAAAAATGGAAAAATGTTGTCATGATACACTGCACTCCAAAAGTTAAGAAACAATAAGTGTTTGGTGTCTAATTTGAGAATGGAGCAATACGGAAACAAGAAATTTAACGGACATGTTCACTAAACAGTTCTTTAATGATTGCAATGTAGAATGCTTCTTAAGATCAACACAAACATGAATCACAAGAAAAACTTGCACGTTTGGCATAGAAATCCAGTCTTGGGGAAACAGTATATCACAGTTTTTCGAGGAAAATTGGGGTGGTAACATTATAAAAATGGGTTGTATTAAGGAACGCGTTTACTCCTAGCTGCAATACATTGACGGCAGCAACGTTCGTTACTGTCAATTAAAGTTGTCGGTCAGTGAAATGGAAAGCAACGACCAGACGCGGAGTAACCCTTGTTCAAGCTCATCTAACATAAAGAAGGTTTTTGATATTTGAGTGATTTGATATTCATCTAACATAGAGGAGGATTTAAAGCAGCAACCCGTCTCCCAAGATATACCCAAAGATGCTCTATTGGATTCAGGTCTGGGGATTGAGCTGGCCATTCCATGCGCTCCATACCGTGATCCTCAAGATATTCTTCAACAAACACGAGCACGATCCGGCCGCGCATTGTCGTCCATCAAAAGAAATCCAAGACCAATAACAGCGGCATATAGACGGATATATTGATCGAGGATCTAGTCTCAATATCTCACACCTGTCAAAGTTCTCTTCATGGAACAGGTCAGTGTGACAACCAAGAGAGATCTCAGCTCAAACCACTATTCCACCACCTCTGTAACTGGGCCATTTCACATTGTGGGATTGGTTGTGTGAGCACCTCTGTGTCCTCGGGGCAAGGAGACACAAACAACTGGTCGTCTAACAGACAGGCCTGTCTTGTGCAGGAGTATGCGCACTGTAGTAGCTGAGATTCTTGTTCCTGTTGTAAGGATTATGTTAATTTTATTAACAGTTAAATTTTATGTTCCTTTCCTGTCAAATTCTTAACTTCAACTTACTACTTCCGGCCAGAACGTAGTTTTGGAATCTTGCTGAATATTTAATGAGGAGGAGCGATATTTAAACCACGAAGTTACTTACTGAGTGAGAGAGAATCAGAGTTTCTGATTTACGGCGTCTGCCTTTTTGGCCACACTCTCTCTCTCTCTCAAAGCTGTTATTACACTCGGCCGTACTCAGGCCCTTGCTAAGCTTCCTAGTCAAATAAGTTAAGAGGCCAACTCGATTTGAACCTTGATAGCTTCGGCTATACTTCTTTAGTAAATCTTAGTTTTAGTTTAACTCTTAGTCTTTTAAGTTCAAGCCCAAGTGCGTTCTTTGTTTGGACACTCCCAGCGGTTTTTGTTAAATCTTGGAATATAAAGGGTTAGTTACCCTTCTATCTTGCTGTTTCTTGTCACCGAACTCAAGCGATTATTCGTTTATTAGTTCTTAGATTCTTCACTTCCAACATTAACTTAGAATTCCGAAGTGAGGAACTCTACACTGTGAACACTAAATGATCTGCCAAGAGCTCAGGCACAGTAATGTCGTTCCTCATTCGGGCCTAAAGAGCTAAATAACTGTCTCCCGCAGGTGTTGTGTAACTCTTGGTCTGCCACTGATTCGCTGAACTACACTGCGGAAGATATTGAGACATCTAGGAGCATCAGCTTGTGACATCCACATTCCCATCCATCCGATCGCACGCTACCTCAGCAAATCCGGGCAAACGACTTCTCCTAGTCTCTCCTGGATATCGTCAACGAAATTGCTAATAACAATTAAATAACAACACTCGTGAACAAACCTTAGAAGTTTTGCACTTTTTCTCCAACTCTTACATAAGTATTCATTTCTATAAAATTAAAGGTCTAGTAGCTATGGTTTTTGCATCTAGTTTCTAACATGCGTATAAATTGTGAATTTAAAAGTTACTGACGTTTTCGTAATCATGATCTTTGAAAACCATGCTGCTTCTTAACTTTTCGGCCCACCAGCGGCCGAGCGATAAAAGACGCTGAACACTGGTATTTCGGTCCGAGGTTCGAATTCCGCGAACGGGCCGGCTGCATGGGCATTTTCGTGGTATTCCCCATGTGTAACGTGTATATGAGCCAGTTACCCTTGGAAAATGCTCCACGAAGGCATCCCTCCCTTTAGGCAGTTAGCCCTCGTGTGCTTTCCCATAATTGAATAATTCAATCCTTAACTTTTAGAGGGCAGTGGGGATGAATCTTGGGGGTATTTAAATGACTGCAATAAAAAGAGATCAAAGAAGAGGAAAAAAACTTAAAACATGGTTCAATGAACCTAAAGCAACGTTTTCAGAGGAGTTTATGATTGTTGCTCGTTTTTCATATAATGGACAAATTAACAATAAAGAGAGCGGAGAAAAATGTTAAGGATCAGTTCCACGTACTATCAGGAACATATCTGATACCCAGTTTTCAAATATCAAACACCTTCTCTTTAACCATTACACGTCAAAATTGACTGTTAATTTCCTGGAAACAAAGGCACCAAGAAACGGGTATGAAAGCTCTTTACTCATATCCGTACTAAATCTCCCGATCTATCACCAATGTATTTTTGTGCTACTGTATCAAGACTACTGTTCCTTCTAATAGCCTTTAGAAACATCTGCAAATCCTGAATGGCAGCAGGGAGCTTACTGAGACTATGCTCGTGTCTGTAGAAGATACGTCAAGAATGAGAAGGGTTAAATTACCCTTTATTCTCACACTTTACACATTCCCGCACTTCGGGATACCAAGACCAGACCTTAGGTTCTGAAACGTAGAAAATAAGAAGTAAAACTAACTTGACTAAACTTAGAGACTTTACAATGACTAGTAACGCGAAGATTGGCCTTTCAACATC